TGTAAAGCAGGAATGACATTATGTAGTGTGTGTGTGTGTGTGTGTGTGTGTGTGTGTGTGTGTCACACACCCCAAATATAGACACGGAGCACGTACTTAATAAATGGTGGTGCTGAAGACCGAGGGATGGTGAACCCGATAGAGCTTTAAGTGGTAACACACAGCCCGCTGCAGCACGTGTAGGGCTTGCGGCGCTGGAGGAGAGACTGAGCTTGTTAAATAAGAGTAAGAGGGAGTGGTGGCCCTCCCCAGCTACACTGCTGGTGCTTGTGAAGAACTGAACACTGGAGGCTGTGTTCAGGGCCTATAAATGCTGTGGTGCTTTGAGGAGACTTACACACACAGAATTCAAAACCAAGGCAACAGAATTGCAAGTAATTTCTGTTGCAGATATTTATATATTTTCATACAACAATAGATCCACTGCTCTAGTGACCATGTTTAATTTTCTTATATCACAGGAACATTAGTTAGTGGAAGCTAAGCTCTATGACGTTGCTAAGTCTAACTTTTTAAAATGAATAAAAATGGTAGTTTCATATAGTTCAACCTGATTTGTCTCTGTTAGTGACTCAGTCTAGAAAGAGATTTTTAAAAATTTCATGAAAATGACTGATGTAGTTTTATTTTCTACTTATGCTGTGGATAGATTATTTTGTACTCTAAAAATCTGGTACTAAAATGTTTTTTAGTTTCCCATGACTGCTGTAAATAAATTCATACAAATATAGTGGCCTAAGATGCACAATTTTATTACCTTTCAGTGCTGGAGATGAGAAGCCTAAAATCAGTCTTATTGGGTTAAGTTAAGATGGCAGCAGGGCCGGCTCCTTCTGGGGCTTCCATAGAGGATCTGTTTCCTTGGGGCATTCCTCAGCTTGTGGCCCCACCACGCCAATGTCTGGCTTCTGTTGTCACCGCTCCTCCGGCTGACTCTGACCCTTCTGCTCCCTCTCACAGGGTCTTTCCCGATGACACTGTGCTCACGTGGGTTACCTGATTCCTTACCTCAGAATCCTTGACTGGATGAGGTCCCTGCTTTCTGGCCGTTCTACGCTAGGACATCTGCAAACACTGACTAGGTGATAAGTAAGTGGAATTGAGAAGGATAGGGTGAAAGAAAGAAATGCTATATAAGGTTACACGGAGTACTAACTTAGAAATTAAAGTTATGCCACATGGTATTCTGTCCTTTTTTTAATACTGAAAAGTAACTGGATGAAAAGTTTTACCATACTTATTTCTCACCCACTTAAATTTAAATTCCTACTATAAGTTTACTTTTGTATTTAATTTACTTTGCTAAGAAGATAGATTTCTTAAAAAAATAAATAAATAAAAAGAAGACAGGTTTCTATACTCTTGATGTTCAAATTTTAAACTATCACCCCAAGATACTTCCCACAAGGGAGATTAGGGGACCAGGGAGATTAGAGGACAAGGGAGATTAGGGGGCCAGGGAGATGGCTCAGTAGAATAAGCATTTGCCTAGCAAGCTCAAGGGCCTGAGTTCAATCCCTGGTTCTGAAAAAAAAAAAAAAATCCAAGATTCTTCCCATACCTATCAAGTTGTATTTTCGTTATAAAGTAGATATAGTTAGAGAATACATGGCTTTAAATTAAGTTGCATTCTGTAGTAAGACTCTGGATTTTAGTTTTTAGGAAATATGATGATGGTTTTATCACTCATTTCTTATGGCAAAACAGTGGATTGGCTGGTAAAGACAGTAAGCACAGGCTCCAGGTCCACGCCTGAGAAAAGTCTGAGCCAAATAAATGCCAAATGGTTTGCACTGTGGTCACTGAAATTAGGGGGGTCAAGACATAGCAAATTCCTAGAGCCTGGGGAGGTAGCTCAGTAGAATAAGCACTTGCCTGGCAAGCTCAGGGTCCTGAGTTCAATCCCTGGTACCAGAAAATATTTTATAATTCCTAACTCAAGGAAGACATGGTCTTACAACAGGCAAAGAAGTTTCCACACCCTCCCAGTCATTTATACAATTTTAGAATACCAGCAATTTCTCTGTGATGTGACAAATGTCATATGAAATACTTGCAGAAAATCACAAGCTGGGGGTTGAATGTGTTCTCTCCAGATTGAGATGTTGAAGCCCTCACCCCAAGTACCTCAGAATGTGACTGTTTGGAGATGAGGCTGGTAAGGAAGGAACTAAGATTAAATGGAGTCCTAAAGGTGGGACCCTAATTCCATAAGACTGGTGTCTGCATAAAAGGAGGAACAGACACCAGAAAAGGTTATGAGGAGACATGGTGACAAGTGGCTCTCCGCGAGCCCAGGAGAGAGAGCTCAGGAGAAACTAACCCTGCTCACTGACTTCCAGCCGTCAGACCTGTGACAAATGCATTTCTCTTATTTAAGCCACCAGTATGTCCTGCTTTATTATGGCAGCCGTGGTAAATTCTACCTTTCTTATTTACCTTTCTGATTTATATTTTTATTTTGCTTTCTCATCTTTTGTCTGTGACATTTGTTCTCATTTATGTTTAGAGTTTCATGCATGATATTCATGACATTTTAATTGCTGACCCGTACTGAGCTGTGCTGCCGACTGGGAGGAGATGGGACGTTGGCTGTGCTGCAGTCAGGTCTCCTCCAGAGGACACTCGGTCCCCCAGGTGCAGCCTTGCTGTACCTGCTCAGCACCTGGCACAGGAAAGCCAGAGCAAATGTGAAGGGAGGCACTGTTGCCTTCATTTAAGGCGGTGCTCATCTCAGTTACTTGGCGGTGATCTGAGTCAGGCAAAGATGCCACTGATACCTGCTCCTCTGTTTTTTCATCATTTGGTTCAGCCACATACCACTGTGCCTGGAAGTCACGCGTGTTGAGTGAACCCGCAGCCCGCTGCCATCCTGAAAGCAGCCTTTCTCAGGAACAAAGTTGTGGTCGAAGGGTCAGCGAGATAGCTTGGCAGACTAAGCACGTGCTTAGGCAAGTGCCGGGAGCACGGTCCATCCCCCGCACCACATGCAGCACCAGCCCTGCGCCCTGGGCATACTGCGCTGGCTGTGGAGTCTGGGCATGGTGGTTCATGCCTGTAATCCCAGCACTGAGGAGGCTGAAAACAGGAGGATCACGACAAGTCCGAGCTGAGTAGTGAGACCCTGTACCAAATACATTAAAAATAAATATATTTTAAAAATTATGGTCAAAAGGTGGCCAGTGGACATGAAACTCTCATGGTTGGTATCATGGGCTATTACAGGGTGATAAGAACTCAATCCTTTTTTCTAACAATTTGAAATTTTCATTTATATTTATTTATTTACTTATTTATTTTAGGGAAAGGTCTACAGGGTGTTCAGGGTCTCACAACTAGATGGGATTCACAATGATCTGCCTGTTTACAGCCTCCCAAGAAGATCTGGGATTATAGGCGTGCACCACCATGCCCAGTCTCAACTGCCATTTTAGTGTGCCCCGGGGGCGGGGCCAGAAAGGCAGGTCCGGGATTGGACCCCCGGCCCTTGCATCTGCTTACACGTGCTTTAATCTGCTGAGCTATTTGGCTGGCCCTGCAATTTTTTAAAGTAATGAACACATTAATACATCTAGAGATATTTTGGTAAATCTTGCATTGTTTGGTTTTTGTTCATCTTTTTCAAAATCTTAATCATGATACTATTGTAATACTATTCATTTAATACTGTCTTGTTCTGTGATTTTGAAAAACTGCTTACTTTACATACAGTTTTGAGCCTGTTTACTTGGGCCTATTTCTGGGTGCCTGCGAATGCTGCATTTTTCTGAATTCCTTGTCATACCTTTTATCATTCAATTTTGATTAGTATTGCAATGTAGTCCTTTCTAATATCTGATATTGACATATTGATTTTCTCTAAGTTTCTTATTTATAAGGCATTTAGTCCTTGCCTATGTGTTTCACAAACTAAATTTTAGTGCAACTTAAAAAAATCTTGTTGGGTCACTGCATTCAATGTGTAAACAAAATATCAAAATTTAGGTATTTTTCAGCCATATTAAAAATAAAAGGAATTATCTAGCCTTGACTCTGTGTGAACAAGTGATGGTGCTACTTGGAGAAATAGTGGGACAGAAACAGGAGTGACAGGAAACTTGGCAGATGTTGAGCAAGTAGCACATGCGTGTGACGACGTCTGTGTGTCCACCTAAGCAGGACGGCTGAACTTGGCCGCACGGTTCTGAGACAGAATCAGAATACAGGACAGAGTCGGTGACTGCTGAGCACTAAGGGGTGGCTTAGTCTTACCAGCTTTGTTCACATGTCCTGAGTCAGTTATAGGAAGACTGTAGCATTTCCTTGTATTTAAAAGTGTCGATGGAAAAGCTATACTGTCTTGTTTTGAGTTGGGTCCTCTACTTATTTGTTGGACTTTAGTTTATTCAAAGTAAGAAAATGATAACCTGTCTCATAGTGCTGTTGGGAGACTAATATTTATAAAGGCCGTTAGTAGTATCAGGCCAACAACTATTAGTTCTAGTGAGATTTTTGCCACTGAGACACTTTGGGTTTGAAAGCGGTCACTTGCCTATAGTTCTTTGCTTTTCCAAAGCTGAATGTCCTTACTGTGCAGCTCTGCGTGGATGACAGGATCCAGTCAGGCTGAACTCCTGTGCCTGGCCCACGCCATTGTCACAGAAATGCTTCTGAGCTTTTATACCTGACTTATTTATTGTTGCTCTCTGGCAGCCATCCCCCAGCCTCCTAGAAAAAGTACCTGGATTTCATTAAAATTCAATCTCTCCTGATACCATCTCTGCTGGATATTAGAAGAGGTTGCTACCAGTGGAGCTTTAGCAACCTGATTAAGAATAGGTTTGGGCTGGGATGTTCTCAGTGCTCTAACATCACCATTACAGAGTTTCTCCCAGGGCTCTCCACTGCCTTCCTCCTGGGCTCCTGGGCTCTGGCCTGCCCCTCTCACCCACAGGGAGCTCGGCCAAGCCTCTTGTGCTTCCTCTGCTGGCCACTGAGATGAGTCTGTCTTCCCGTTCCAGGTGCAAGCGCTCTCCCATCGCCTAGAGCCCCCGCTCTGGGGCCCTCTGTATGAGCGACGCGTCAGCCTGCCATGGAACCTGGCCCTGCGCTGGCCTGGCTTCTGCTCCTGAGCCTGCTGGCTGACTGTCTGAAGGCTGCTCAGTCCCGAGACTTCACAGTGAAAGACATTGTCTATCTCCACCCATCAAGTAAGACACTCCTCTTTGCTGCAGAAATCCCACTTTATTTCAGATTAGAAGTGGATTGAAAAGTAGGCCGGAAAAAAAAATTAAAAAAACCAAAACCAACCAACCAAACAAACAAACAAACAAAAAAACAGGCTTTTGTGCAAAGAAAATATCTGGTGGTGTTATTTAGGCAATGCCAGATTTGATCAGAAATGTTTTGTATTTTACTTTTGCTTTTTCACAGTGTTTGCTTTTTATTTTAAATCAAATTATTAGGCTTGTCTTCTCTGTCCCATGAACAGTCCCTCTGATTCTAAACATTCCTCCCTTCTACTATCCCTCAGTAAGTTATCAAGGTGTACTACCATGTCCCCAGAGGATTATTTGTAAAAGATCAGTCCTTTAGAGGTAAGATAATAGCTGCTCCTCCTCGCAGTGCATCCAACTCTGTGGGGTGTCGCTGCCTTCCATAGCTTCCTGCTTCCTATGCCTTTTGGTTTCCTACGTTGTTCAGTAATTCTCCAGGGAGCTCTTAGTAGGGTAGATAGGCAGCTCTTTGCCCTCAAGTTTCTGATTTGCATGTATCTGGGGTAGACCTGCGGATCTGTGCTTACAGAAAGACTTTCAAGCCTTTCTGCTGCTGATATCCTGAGGCTCACCCTTGGGGAGACACAGCAGTTTGACTTTCTCTTTTGGTCTCCATCTCTGTTTATCTCCCCACTTTTGTCCTTGTAGGATTCCTCCTTATTGTTGTCCCAGTGGTGGTGAGAGTTCAGTCAGTTGCCTGTGTCCTGGCTTTTAGTTTTTCTTCCAAGGCACATAAGTTGTTTTTGTTTGTTTTGCTTTTGGTGTTTTTTCACAGAACTGGGGATTGAACTCAGGCCCTTGTGCTTGCCAGGGAAGCGCTTATTCCACTGAGCCATCTCTCTGGCCCAGCATATTAGTTTTTAAAATATTCTGCCCAAAAAATATTGTTCACATATCCACTGTTTGCTAAGCATTTTGTGAGGCCTAAAAGGCATGCAGGCAAATAAGATACAGTCTTGGGCCCAGGATATAATTCAGCAGCACAGAGCTTGCCTGGCAAGCTCAAGGTCCTGAGTTCAATTCCTTTTCACACCCCCCAAAAGATACAATCTTATTTTTCAGGATCATATACCCTACAAAGTAAAGGCAGCAGCTACTGAGATTCCTTCAATCTCTCTCTCTTTCTCTCTCTCTTTCTCTCTCTCTCTCTCTCTCTCTCTCTCTCTCTCTCTCTCTCTGTGTATTTAGTACAGGGTCTACAGGATCTCACTACAGATTGGGCTCGTAGTGATCCTTCTGTTTTCAGCTTCCCAAGCATGATGATTACAGGTGTATACTACCATGTCTAGTCTCCGTCGCCAGTCCTAGCGCACCTAAGGGGCAAGGCTGGCACTGCACCCGGTGCCTGTGCTCTGCCTAAGCAGGGGCTTTAATCCAATGAGCTATCTGGCTCCTGCCCCATCCCCCCTTTTTTCTTTGAGACAGGGTCTCGCTGCATAGTTCAGGCTGCCTCTGAACTAACTATAGCCCAGGCTGGCCTTGAACTTGTGGCAGTCCTCCTGCCTCAGCCTCCCAAGTACTGGGATTACAGGCAGGTGCCATCATGCCTGACAGCTCTTTCAACCCTATGGGACTAGAATATTCAATGTCTATATGTCCTGATTTGCCTAAGAAATGACTGTGAAATTGATAGGGACTTGGAAGCTACCCAGCCCTGAGCTACTTCTTAGCCTCCTGATATATTGTCTAACTTTATGAAGATGAAATAACATGATGCTACAAAGAGTTTAGCATTAAATATGAGCTGTAGTAAATTTTCAATCAATGTTAAGAAATTTTTGAGGCTAAAGCAGATGGATTGCTGTGAGTTCGAGCCCAGCCTGGGCTACAAAGTGAGTTCAAGGCCAGCCTGAACTATATAGTGGAGTCCTGTCTCAAAAAGGCAAAAAAAAATAAGTACTTATTTCCTAATCTCTAAAGTAGTAAAATAATTCATTTCCTGTAGCATTGTTTTATGGACTAGAAATAACGGCACGAAACACTAGTCCCATACCTCATAGGCTACCAAGTGGCTGTTTACGTTGCTGATATCATCGATTTAGACAGCAGAGGAAGGTACTGAAAATGTGCCACACTTAATTTTGTAGAACTCCAGGGCTGGCAAGGTAGCTCAGTGGTCTAAAGTGCCTGCGCAGGCAAGCTTAGGCAAGCCCAGGGACGGTGGTTTGATCCCTGGCACCATATACCACACTAGCCCCACCCCCAGGGTGGGCTGAGCTGGCCACAAAGAAAAAAAAATTGTAGGACTCCAAAATACTTTTTTCTAGACAGTGAGTAATTTATCTAGATTTTGCCACTATAACTTCTCACTAGGAAAGTCTAGCACCTACTGGTTTAGTTGCATGCAACACTTACCTGAACACTTGTTTTCTGAATTTTTTAGTTTGTCTTAATAATAAACTGTAAGGATAAAAAGCAAAGATACTTCCTGTGTTTTCTGGATTGCACCTTATTCTTTCCTTTGGACATACATGTGTTTTATTAGACTTGGTGAGGCAGCACCTAGAGTTCAGTGTCTTAGGGTTGAACACCAGGGCTTGGTACAATTCTTGTCACCTTTGGTGACAGACCAAGCAGTGACTGGGCTGCAAGGCTGGCCAGTGGCCACTTCTGAGGCTGTGACTGTACACAGAGTGGAGAGGCAAATTGAGGGAAGAAGATGTAGGTGAACAAGAACAAAATGAATATGCTACTTCTGTTTCAGTGGGGTGGCAGACCAGTGTCTGGGTTAAGTGCCCCCATTGGGAAAGTTGATTTTAGAAGGGGGTTCTTTGAAGAATGAACTCTTCCAGGCCACAGAAGGAATCAACTTTTCTTTAGAAGGTGATAGGAAAGCTCTGTTCATATGACTTACACAAATTAAATAGAGTCACAGACTAATTAGCAGAAAGTCAACTTATGAAGAATTGATCAGGGAACCAAGCATGGTAGTGCACACCTATAATCCCAGCACTGGGGAGGCTGAGACAGGAGGATTGCTATGAATTCAAGACCAGCTTGGAGGCTACAAAAGTGAGCACAAGGCCAGCCTGAACTGTGTAGTGATACCCATTCGCAAAAAGAAGTAATGCGATATTCTAACATGGTCTGGAAGTGTGGAGATAGATAGAAGTTGTCCCTAAAGGAGATTAGAAGTAGACAATTCACTGGAAGGTTGGGCCTGAGTTCTCCATAATGGTGACCATACAAGTTCTTATTGGAGTGAAGTTAGGCTGAATGGCTTCCTCTTGCTAGAACTTTGTTTGCTCTGCTCACATCAGATCAGATAACTTCACACTTCTCCACACTATTTCAAAAGTTTGTGTGCATTTTTCTTTTCACTTTCGAGTTTTTAAACAGCCCTGGTCCTTTGCCCTTTAGCATCAGGACATGTTTAGGTGGAGTGTTCTTTCTACCAATGAGCAGGCTCCTGTTGAACATAAGCCATAAAAAATATATGAGGGAAGCGTAGGTTTAGTTTGATTTTGAATTATTTATGTCATCACCTCGCTTTGTAGAAGGAGGCAAAACAGCTATCTCTGGGTGAGCGAGTGGGCCAGATTGCATTAATGTTACATGGCAAACCGCAGCACCTGCCCAGGGAGAAGTGTGGTGAAGCATGGGGAGCTTACTCCGCCAGACGGAAACTCCTTTCTCACAGGCTTCGAGCGGTCTTTATCAGTGATACCTGGGGTGAGACTGGAACTCAGGCTGGTGAAATTCAGCCCCGACCATTCTCCTTTGCTTTCTGCTATTGTAAGCTTTGATGTTCCTCAGCCAAAGTAAAGAAATAAAAGCTGTATACCTTTCAAACTTGGGGCAGCACCCTAAAAAAACAATCTGTTCTGTACTTTATATGTGCTTGCCCCCTATTTTTATGCGAAAAGTGCTAATTTTCCTTAGCTTATGGTTAAAACACCACAGCCTAATTAAAGCCTTTGAAATAAGAACCATATTAAAGAGAAATACAGCTACTTATTTGGTTGTCAGACAGCACACAAAATGTGGCTGCTGTGTAGTCTTGGCCTCCAGTTCTTTTCATAGAATGAAAACCTTATCTAAAAAAAGTTGAATTTTCCTCTGAGTGTACATTTTGAGCCTTTACTGAATTATACGCACCAGAGAGCTGCGTCCTTGTGGGGGGTCTGATTAACGCCCGGGTCAGGGCTGACATACTTCCTCATGGCCCTGTAGAGCTGGAGAGTTCAGAGGCTTTATAAAGAGTACCAGGAAATACATTTCTACCAGAAACGCGTTCATACTGAAATTACACAGATGATGTCTTATTGCCAAGGAGACCGAACAAAAGATAAACTTATTAGGTGTCTAGAATTTTTATATTTGAATGTTGTTTCCAAAACAATGGAAGTTAATTTGGCAAGAATAGAAACAGGGTGGATGTGTCATACACCAGCATGTATTTTAAAATGTCTGCTCTCACCATCTTTGCCGTAACTGAAGGCTTTTGTCCAGGCAAAAGTTCCAAGAGATGGAAACAAAGACTAAATCTTTTCAGTACCTTACAAGTGGGTTCTAGTAGGTTGAACTATGGCTGACCATGTGGGTTAATGCACATATTATTTTACAGGAAGTAACTGGGCACTTCGGTGTTTCTTTTCTCTTTACAATCATTTTCTCTTAAGGGACCAAGGACTTATGCCCTGAAATACACAGTACTAAGCTTATTAACTCTGTGATCAAGAGCCAAATTAGATTCATTCACAGCTGGGCCTGCAATGATCTGAAACTCTGCTTGCTCTGTAAGGCTTTGAAGTAACAAAGAAGAAAATAGCACATCTCTTAGGAATCGCTTTCCGTCCTTAAAAAAAAAAAAAAAAAAAAGAAAAAGAAAGAAAAACCTCTTTATCAGATGCAGTATCAGTTAGCAAGTTACTGGAGATAGTTTGTTCATCTGTTGGGCTTTTTTTTTTTTTTTGCCTAAATATTTCCAGAGGGAAGAATTTAACTATTTACTTGGTTCATACTATAATTAGCCACTGAAAGATGAGTATGTTTGGTCAGAGGTGTCCCTGACCAGTGACTAGTCACTGATCACTACTGCCTGCCAACATGTCAGTAATACTTCCTGTAGGAAAATACAGTCATTGAGAATGAACACAAATATGAAGTTGTAGAGTTCAAAATAAAACTAACCAAAAATGAGATCCTTTGGTTAATTGCCAATAGTACATGCTGATAAGCTCATGCTATGAAGCAAGCTTCATTTTGCAGCCCATAGTATTTTAGCTCCTACTTCTGTTTAGATTTCAACATCCTTTGGGGTAATTTCAGAGTCCAGGCCTACTTACATTAGAAATGACACTGTTTAATTTAATATGTCACTATTTCGTAAAAGATCATCTTGAAAAGTCTAATGAAAATCCAATTTGGGGAACAATAGAACTTATTCATGTTTGGTCCATAATAACTTTGTTCTCAGAGCAGTTAGATCATCAATCTTCATTCAGAGTTCTTAATTTATCTCGTGGATGGGAAAGTTTCCAGGAATAACAAATCCAACACCCTAGCCAAAAATTTTTTTGGCTGCAGTGACAGACAGATAAAATTAGATGCTGTAGTGAATTAATCATACAACCTGCAGGGGTATGACTAGCTTGCAGTCATAAACATTGCTAGATATGATGATCATTTTTTGAGAAATACTGTTCATTGTCCTATCCTTTATGTCTAAAACTTTGATCCTCCCACTTCTGATTTTATAAGATACTTTAAAGTTAATAATGTAAGTATTTTAGCATGTCCAGTCAGAACAACTTTCCAAAGGATTTCATACTGTTTTCTCATATCCATAAGAGTTGTGAATGGCTTTTGTATTTTTGAACTTTTTTTAAAGTTCTTCAGGCATGTCTTCACCAAAATAGTATCTTTCAGTTCAAATGTAAACCCACTTAAGCAGGTGATAGGCTGTAGAAACACAAATTACTTATATATATGATTTCATGAAATACTTTATTCTGGTTATGAAAATTGTGTGATTGGAGAGCTTTATCTTCACAGTGAAATTTCCTCATGGGCATGAAGTGGCTGTCTCTTGGTCACTTTCCATTACTTTGTAGGATGATCCATCCCTTTGCTGTCATTCTGTTTATAAATTTGAGTAACCAGCGACTTGGTGAAACATAGAGCTCTCGGAGGGCCCCATTACAAGGTCCAGTTGCTTGTGTTTTTTAGAGTTTATGACTTTTGACTATGTGTGGTATTGGACATTGTCATAGCTCTGTGAATTACTGTAGGCAAGTACACGGATGGGCAGCTCTTCTAGGCAAGGTGAAAATCAAAGTTATATCTGGCCCATAATTCTGCCCTCAAGTTTCTGCCTCCTCCTTCATTATTTTTGATAACCTTCTTAATTGGTTCCATGTGGGCAAAGCAGATCACCCTGAGATGATTATTTCCATCCACGGGACACGCAGGCCCAGCCATCTGCAGGGGAGAGCAGCTGCCTCCTGCAGGTGAAGGCTCTGCGGCTGTCAAATAGGCCAGATAATTTTACAAATTTTTTAAAAAATGCACAAGCTTATTTATTTGTTTCTTTTTATATGAAACACAGAACTCTAGGTAGCTAAGCAAACAATTACAGTCGTGAAGCAATTAAAAGCATATTGGTGAACAAGACAGAGAACATCCTGGCCTGACATTCCTAGCTGACCCCAGTCCTTGTGCTGGGAGGCTTGGGGTCCTCAGCACTCTTCAGGGCATGACTCGTGTGTTCCTCCTCCCTCCTGAGCTGACAGATCTGGTGAAGGGTACAAGTACCTGCATGGCGGTCCCCCTGACAGCAAGAAGATGCAGCTCAAGGGAGGAAAGAGGGCAGAGTCAATGGGAGGGCTGGTGGCAGCTGTGTGTCTCACGGCTGTATGCTTCTAGTTCTGCCTACCCTACATCTGGCAACCGCTCACCTGTACTCCATTTCCAAAATAATATTATACTTTCAAAAATGTTGCCTTTTGGGTTAGAGCTTTTTTTTTTTTTGGTACTGGAAATCAAACCCAGAGCCTTGCACTTGCCAGGCAGGCACTGAGCTGTATCCCAATGTAGTTATATTTTTTGACTAGCAATAATTCCCTGAAAATGCCCTCTGTGCTTGTTCAGGGTGGGCACTGGGTTTCCTCCATATGTTTCTGCATTTGATTCTTTACTTCAGATGCTATTAAATCATCCTTTTTTATTTCCAATCTGAGTTCCTCTATACCTTTCTGCAGTTGTTTCTTTATTTCAGATGCTGTTGATTCATTATTTCAGCTGTGTGATTCCCAATTTGTTCTGTGCTAGTGTCCTCTGCACTTGTTATGGGTGGGCTTGGGGTCTGAGATTGCATTTTGCTCCTTCTCATCATTTTTTACAGCACTGTGTTCTGAACTTTGTTGTAGAGCTTTGGTGCAGTTATAACCTTAGCACCTACTGAAATTCAGGTGCAGATCTACAAAGTTTGAATTTATCCAGTTGTGCCTGGCTTGTGTTTGACTGCTGTGCTCAGCTCCTTCCAGCTGCTGCCCTTGGGAGTGAACCTGGTGTGCCCCTCTGGCAAGATGTTCTGCTCCTGGACTAGCTGGGTGGTTCTGTCCCCTGCTCTCTCTGCAGGGATTGCAGCTGCAGGGTTTCACCCCAGGCCTGTATGCCAGCTCTGCGCTGAGTCTGAAGGGGACAAGAGGGAGTAGGGGAGAGGGAAAGCTCTCCCACACACTCACTGGCCTGGGCTAGGGCTAGATCTGGGGGTCCTGAGAACACAGCAGAAGTTCTCACTCACTTGGCAGGCATTGGGGAGGGAGCTGCAGAGTGGTGGTGGGGTGGTCCCAAGGACTCGGAAGAAGGTCTCACTCAAGCTGCCTACCTGGGTTTGGACCGGACAGGTCCTACAGACGCAAGGTAGCCAGAAGCTCTCCCACATACTCCCTGGGCCTGGGCTAGGGCTGGATCAATTCCCTGAAAATGTATCCAAGTTATTAAATTTGTTAATAGTTTATTCCTTTTTGTTACTCTGTAGTATTCTATAGTATGGGTGTACCAGAGTTTGTTTAACCATTCATCATTTAAAGACATCTTGGGGTCTCTAGGTTTGGTCATTACATGCTGAGTATTTTTCATCCAAAATATTTGGGACCAGAAGTGTTTCAAATTTTGGATTTTTTGTTTTGTATTTTGGAATATTTGTACATACCGTATGAGATATTTTAGAGAAGAGACCCAAGTATAACATGAAATTTGATAGTTTCATATACACTTTACATTTAGACTAGAGGTAATTTTATAGAATATTTGTAGTGATCCTGCATGTCCATGAAGACCCACCATAGGAGGAGAGATATGATTTTGGGGCATGTCATGTGGGTGTGAAAGAAGTTTCAGCTTTTAGAGGATTTTACATTTCAGATTCTCAGACTAGAGATACAATTGCTATGTCCATTTGTATTCAGCTTTTCTGTGTGAATATGAGTGTTCATTTCTTGGGAATAAATTTTGCAGAGTGAAACTGCTGTGTCACATGAAAGTTGAATGTTTTAGCTTTCTAGGATACTTGAGAATTACCATGAGAATCCTTTTTTAAAAAAAAAAAAATATATATATATATATATATATATATATATTATTTTTTCCCAGGATTCTATACGCACTCTAAAAATCAATCTTTCCCTTTGATTTTGTAGCTACCCCGTATCCTGGTGGGTTTAAGTGCTTCACCTGTGAAAAGGCAGCAGACAATTATGAATGCAACCGCTGGGCTCCTGATGTCTACTGTCCCCGAGGTAAACTCTCCTTGACAGATCGGGGTCTTGGAGCTGTTTATGAGTGAGCAGCTCCACAGACTTCGGTGTGTGCTTGCTCTCCTAACTGCTCCTTGCATTGAAGGCCATTAGAATTTTTCTTTTTCTTCCCCCCTTGCACCAGTAACTTATCCTCAAAGACTGCCAGAGATATGAAAGGATGCACAGGGTTTCCCCCTTTTCTCGTCTTTGAAATGCCACAGGAGATAAGTGAGACTTCTCCACCCTAGGGATGACCAAATGCCCAAGAAGAAGAGAACAGCTCGCCTGTTCACCATTTTTTGAAGCATTAGTCATTGCATAGTAGCTTCTTTCATGTAAAGTATGAATTGATGCTCATATAAAGGTTCCATTTATCACACATCTTGCCGGAGACTTCTATCCTAAGAGCACATGAAAGTAGGAATTCTAAATGTCATTATTGCACAAAGTCCTGAGCTTCTTAAACTATTAAGGTCTCTTTGAAGGATGAGATGGTATCCAACTGAAGCTTGAAATTTTGGATGAAAAGCTCATTTCAAAAAGAAGACCTATCATTTTCACATCTCTTTTATCCTAAGAAGAGAAAATGATATTTATATTTGACAGTGAATCATGACTGGCTGTTTTATTTTGAGGGAAGTACACTGATCTGATGGGGGATGATGAAGATGGACATTTTATTTTTATTTTTATTTATGTCTTTTGTAAGATATGTTGTCACTTTTATTTTTAGTTTTTTGGCAGAACCAGGGATTGAACTCAGGCCCTTGTGCTTGCCAGGGAAGCACTTATTCCACTGAGCCATCTCCCCGGCCCCAAAATGGCAGAAGGATTTTTTTTTTTTTTTTTTTTTTTTTTTTTTTGCTCTGAATGCCTCCAGGGCAGGTTTGGCTGGCTTGAGTTGTGGGGATCGAACCACAGCAACCTGAGCCTGACTGCTTTGTTGAAGCAAGATGGACATTTTGATCTACAGATGTTTAAGTGAGCAGTTAATGTATTTAGCTGTTGATCTAACTCAGTTGTTAAAATGACTGAGCACATCAAATTCATTATTTTTCAGCATAGTGGAAGAGCACGCATGTTCTATTTGGTGTGTAGTAATCTGCTTCTCTTGTTGGATTAGAAATTGGGAGACTATGGAAGACATCATTGGCAGACAGGTATCAGCTAGCCAAGCTGGAACCGTTTAGCCTGGAGTTTCTACCTTCTCTGCTCAGTAGGAAGCACTCCCAAGCCTGGGCTTTGCCTAGACCAATGGCTCCTGCACTTTAGCTTCATCATCACTCCATGGAGGGCTTAGGAAAGCACAGATAGCTGCTGCTGTCCCCATGCTCCCACTGCACCTGAGTGTCTGATTCAGTAAGTCTGAGATACACTGAGAGTGCATTCCTAGAGTCTTCAGGTAAAGATGTGGCTGGACTGCAGAACACACATTAAAAACCACAGCTCTACACAAATTGAGCCAGTATCTCTAAATTAGGTTGGACATTTTGGGACATTTTTAAATATCCTAGGTGATCAAATGAATAGTCAAGGGCAAGAACCCCTGGAGGCATCTCTATCCTTTTGTAAGACATGTTGTCACTTCTAGATTCCTCTTTACTTTGTTGTAAAGAAGTGAATGGAGGTCCCAAAGGTTATAAGGAAGAGAAAAACATGAGACCCAAAGGCTGCTCAGTCATAAGTTAGATAGCCAGTCACGTGGGTAGTCAGTGGTCAGTCCTGTCTCTTTGGCCCTCTGTAGTCACTGCTCATTTCCAGATGAGCTGGTGTTTGTTGACAGCTCTCCAAATGAATGTACAAGTTGCAAATGACCTGCCTGAATGAAGAAGAATTTTTAAAATTTCCCTTGGTGACTCTAATGGAAATCAAAATTTGGTGATTGTAAACAATAACTGAACAAAAATAAGATGGTCTGTGTGGGTTTCCATTAGCTTTTGGGCCAGCTCCTGTTAGGACAAAGCTTACCAGTTAGCTTCTGAAACTGCTGCCCCTGACTGATTGGAGCGAGTGTACAGGAATTATAACCTAATGCCGTTGGTGCTGCTGTAGCATAGGATCTCAGGCTCAGTCATTTAGAAACAACAGAAATTTATTTCTCACAGCGCTGGAGGCTCGGAAAGCCAAGATCAAGGTGCCAGCAAGTCCAGTGAGGGCCTAGTCTTCTTGTTTCTAAAATGGCTCTCTCATCTCTGGAGGAGGGGAACTGTGTCCTCGCAGAACAAGAGGCAGAAGGGAATAGAAGGAAACAGACCTACTCCTGTGCGCCCCTTAACAAGGGTCCTAACCCCACTGATGAGGGTCACGCCCTTAGGATTTAGCTGTCTTAAAGATGCCACCTTTTACTGTCACATGCATGGTTAACTTTCAACATAAGAATTTTGGAGGACACACTCAGACCATAGCAAAGTGTGACTATATTTGTCTTAAACAGAGTTAACTGCAGGACACCTTAGCAGAGATTACTAGGAGAAAAAGGAGATGTGAATTGGTACGCTCTACAGATGTCAACAGTGTGTGACTACATCCTGTCACAGGATAAATGGTGACCAGAAGTGCTCTGCTTGACTGGCTGCTGGAGAAAAATAAAGATTCATCTTGATGCTTCGTTTTGAGATCAAAATCATTCCCTTCAAAATAGATACTTAAAGGTATCACAGAGTAGTCTTTATGCTAATTTATCCTTCTCTTTATCCCTTCCACTTTTACCTTTTTGTCCTTAAATTTATAGGGATAAATGAAAAGTCCTGCACTGAGATTCATAAAGTAAAGCGACCATCTCACACCCCTTGGGTGATTATGCAGTGGAGGATAGGCATCTGGTTTCTTCCGAGGAGCAGGCTAGGAGATCTGGTCTGATTGTATCAAATGTCGAAAATAGCAGGATAAAGTTCAGTGCCAAATGAAATGTGGTGGCAAGTGCTGTGGTAAGGAAAGAGAAGCCTTTAGGGGCTGAGGTGGCCAGTGAAAGCCGTGCGGGCTGTGAAGGTTGCACCAGCCCTGCAACTAGAAGAGGATGTAAACAGCTGAGAGGGGAAAGTCCCCCAGGAAGCCCCTCCAACTGATGCAATGGAGACGGGATTTCCCAGTGCTCAGTGGACAGGGAGACAACTGAGCTGGAAGCCCAACTAGTTTTTCTCAGAAAATAGTCAGAGCAGCATAACCCACAAACAGGTTATTTTATGGGATGACACTGTGGGAGTTATTGTGAGGCCTTGGCATCCATTAAAGAGAAGTCAAGGCCATGGTATAAATGGAGGTGAAACCTTGTTCAGCCTTCTCTGGGCCAACCCTGCTTCCCATGTATCCTCTGTTCTTTCTTTGAGGTTTTTCTCTGGATTTTTCTCCAATAAAATACTACCATTTTATTATTAGATTAAAATATGAGATGTCTTTACTGATTACCCCTGAGTTTGTTTGGTCTGCTTATCATTGGCCAGAACAGCTATAGGCAGGACCACCAAGGGGCTTGGCAGGAGCAGCTCAGATGCTGACCTAGACAGCCTTTCCTGGGTTTTTGTCTGTTGTGTGACATATTTAGTTAAGTTTTTTTCGTTGTTGTTAACTTAATTTTATTTTGAAGTATAAAATGAGCATCAAAAACAAATAGAAAAAAGACAGAAATATAGTAACATACAATACACATTATAAGTTTCAAAACAAGAATAGCTGATTAGCAGTGGTTATTATGTTATCTATTTTTATCATCAAATTTGTTGCTCAGATTAACAGATACAGTTATGCAAGATTGGGGAAATAACTGAATGTTGGCACTTGCTTTCAAGAAATCTTTTTTTTTCCTTGTCTCTTTTGTTTTAATTTACTTTAAAGAGATATAATAATTGATAATTAGAAAAGGGACACGTTTAGAAGACCAAGGTGAGAGGTATTCAACCATGGGTTTTGTATGACACATTATTGTACTCAATGTAGTTTCTCAGATCAGGTATCAGCATGCAGAGTTAGTCAAGGTGAAAATTCTAAACATTAACAGCTATTTTCAAACAAACTGATGGAAATTATGAGTCAAATCTTTTCAGTCATCCTATATATATACTTGCATGTTTTTTCCATCTTTTCTCCTCTCATCTTTGCTGTTTAATACTTATGTTCAGTTTCTTTCCATTTTACTGTGTCTACTATACCTTTCAGGTTTTATTTATTCTTTGAGATTCATACATGAGGGAGACAATACAGAATTGATACACGTGGGTCTGATTTATTTCACTTATGGGTATAGCCTCTAGTTGCATCCACTTAGCTATAAAGGCTTTGAGTTTGTCTTTATAGCTGAATAGTACTCCATTGCATAAAAATAACACATGTTTTCATCCATTCCTCAAGTGATGGGCATTGTGGTTGTTTCCAAGATTTGGCTATAATAAATTGTGCTGCTATAAACAAGGATGCACATATATCACTATGGTATGATGTTTTCAGTTCTTTTAGGAAAATACGCAGAAGGGGAACAGCTGGATTGAATGGGATTTTCAGTCCTAATTTTTGAAGGGGTCTCCACACTTATTTCCATGGTCGTACCAGTCTACATTCCCACCAGCAGTGGAGAAGGGTTCCTTTTTCCCCACAGCCTCTCCAGAATTTGTTATGAGTTGATTTCTTTATGATAGCCATTCTTTCTGGGGTGAAATGGTATCTCAGTGTTGTTTTAATTTGCATTTCTCAAATGGCCAGTGCTATGGAACACTTTTTCATTTATTTATTTTCCACTTGGATTTATTCCTCGGAGAAGTGTGTATTCATCTCAGATGCCCATTTTTGGATTGGGTCTTTAAATTATTAGGGTCCAAATTTTAGTTCTTTATATAATTTAGATAGACGTCCTTTGTCTGAGTTATTGGTTATGATTTTTTCCCCAATTTGTGTGTTGTCTTTTCACTCTGTTGGTGATTTCTTTTGACATGCAGAAACTTCTCATTAAGATCAGATCCCAGTTGTTGATTCTTTGGAGTATTTCCTGTGAAGTTTGGTCTTTGTTCATG